AGTAGCAGTACCTGAATCTGATATGAAAAAATACGAATGAAGAGATTAAATCACGTAGCCACAGGCAAGATTTAAACGTTAAACATGTTAACTATATTAGTGCTAGGTTTTATAAGTGAGAGAATACTTTGCTTTCTAAATTCAGCTTCACTGAAAAAGTCAGTAGAGTGACAAGTGTTATGGAAAAAAGGAGACAGACAAACATTGTTTGACTGTTTAAGTGTTGAATGATCCATAAGCATACATAAAAAACAATTATATGCTTTGTTTATGAATAATGTTCTATGTTTGAGAACAAACTCAAGTCCTTCTTCAGTGCTTCAAGGTTTAAACACACTCAATCTATTCTTACTAGAAGGTCACTCAAATTGTGCTTTGGTTAATAATGGTAATCAGACTGAGCGGAGTCAAATTCTATCTCTAATTTTTATGGGCTTTTAACAAAATAGGACGACCACTGAAGTGAGAGTCTGATCTGTCAATGAAGAGCATGACTACAGACTGAATTGGACGACACAAAGTCCTGTTACCAATTAATCATAACCATTAATCACAACTTCAAAAATAATAAAAAAAATACATTTAGGGAAAGTATCTTAGGTTGAGAGAATGACTTGTCTTAACTGAAAATCCCTCCATTTGGTAAGTTCCCCAGTTATTTTAGGATATTAGTGGTTGTTGCTGTGGTTACTTTGATCATTTCTGTTATTGGTGGATTTAGCTGAGTGGACTTACTATGTTTGGCTGCTTTAACTGTTTGATTACAACTCTTCAGAATGATTAGTGAAAAATAAAGCAGCTAATGCACCAATCACATTTGAGGAAACTGTAACAGTTATGATTACTCAGTGTTGTGGGGTTGTAAATTTCTACACTCAGGTATTTCCATACATTTCTTTGTTATAAGTTGAAAGTAAAGCAGAAACAGTAACAGAAATTCTACTTAATCTTATACAAAATAGCTTCATCTCAATCTGCAATTACACAAAGGTCTTTCCTATTTCCTAAAATAGGCATCAAGGCAATTTTTTAAAATTTTAGCTAGAAGAGGGGCACTTATTTGAAGGATCAGGTTGCTTAATTAATGAGGTTGTTTATCAAGAATATATTAACCTACACTGACTTACCTGAGTAAGTGAAGTTCAAAAAGTTACAAATAAAGTTGTAAAAGAACCAGATTTTTCCTTTTATTTCGGAAAGTGAGGGAGGAGAAATGGTGATTATTCAAGGCAGAATAATTTGGATATATCAACAAAGTTGAAATGGTAAATTGGCCACCGTAATGATTACAAAAGCTGACGTTTCGAGCGTTAGCCATTCGTCGGAGCGAATAGAGGAATTGTGGGTTGTGTGTGCTTTTAAAGGCAGAAAATGGAGCTACGTTATTGGTGGGTGCATGGCAACGAGAAAAACATGAATAAATTTATTACTATAAATTTAGTTTATTACTGGCTTGGGGAAGGAGGGGGGATGGGCACTGATTAGGGGAAGGGTGCTAAGATATATGTAGAGCCTGGAGGCTAATTTGAGGAAATCTAGTAATTTTAATGTTAGACTGGAAGATGTTGATAATCCTATTGTTGTACAGAAAAAAAAAATTAATTGACGGTGTGGATTTTTTTAATTCTTAAGAACTGTATACCTGATTTACTGATTTTTTTTTTCACTTAGTCCACTTGTCTAATAACTGTCATATTCCTAAATGTAATATACAATGTACTCACCTGGTACAGTCTGTCCTTGTTTTTTCGTCTCTGTTTCTCCACAGTCTACAGAGCTGTGTGGAGCTTTGCCTACAGACAGGTAAGAGCAAAAAGAATCAATCACCTCTCTAAATTGATAGCATATGGCCTGCAAAAACATGAATGCACACAAAGCTCATTCTCAACTGTCAAACTCTTCTTTTTGGATGAAGTCTTAACCACAATTGGCAACATATTTGCAAACTATTATCATGCCATAATGTTCTCTGTGACATTAATTATGGCAAAATTACATTTGATTACTAAGCTATTGCGTGGAACATTGTCTGTGGACAATGGACACAAACAGGCCCCCAAACACAAACAATAGAAATTGATTTGAGCTTGCTTTCTTTTGCGCTTTTCATGAGCAAAGTTCACACGCCTCTTCTCGGGGCACTGATTTGCGCTTGTTTTATGGCTACCGACGCTCGTTTCAGTTTTCGTGAATTTTCTAGGATAAAGATGCAAATCTGGAAAGTAATCTTACCACATTTCTAAGTTTTATACAAGGCATCTCCGACTGAAATATGAGGACAGTCATTTTTCGCTCAATGTGCCACCTCTCACATGGTCTTGAGTGACACACTAGACACACAACCTAATGGGTAACTAAGATATTTGTTTCGCTAGCTTACAAAGTGTGCTATCTCTTCTTCATGAAGAAACATCCCCAACAGGTGCGAACATGCGAAAACTATCCTTGCATAGGTTAATCAGAATCAATGACACTTTGAAATAATATGATCCAGTAAATCACATGACGATCTGGTTTTGGCTCAGTTACTATGTGTTGGTTTCAGTCAATTTGCTCGTAATTCATTTCAAAGCTTTTGTTTCAACTGTTTTAATCTCTTTTTTATCTTAGGAAGTTTACATTAAATCAGGTGGTTTCCATTGCGTCTTGTATAAAATTGGTGATATATTTTGGCTATGTTTCACACACTTTTAACCAGAAGTCATTGAGAAGAATTTTATCAATAACCTCTGACAGACCTTGAAGGAGGTAAAGTCAAATAAGGAAGGTCCACGATTATGGTCCAATTTGGTGTTCCATGGACGAAGTTCCATCTGGTATTAGATGCATAGAAAAAGGAGCCGTAGAAATGTACCAACACCATGAACAATTTTAAAGCAATATTAATCGACAAAACTAGTTTTTGGTCCAATTTTACATGATAAGGTTCAAAGAGGAAACAAATTGTTCTTGACTGACAAATGATTTTTCACATCAACTTTGTAACCTTTCTAGTAGCATTAAATATGTGAAAGAGACATGATGTTGCATTCAATGCAAACAGTTACATTTGGAATGAATTAACATGCACATCTCAAACCATAAAATATACACACCAAGGCATTCATGTATAACACTGTATTGATACTGAAATAAAAAGCACCTGTTTTAGCAACTCCTTTCATCCTTCTTTGAGAAGGTCTTCTTTTCTTTTACGATGGTGGAGCTGGGACTTTCACATTGTTAGCAGTATGTGCATGGGGATTGAGGATTTCGGTCAATAATTGTATTGAAAAATGCTTCCAGGGGATCATGACTTCATCAGAAATATGAATACTTAGGATGAGATCAAGCCTAATTTAAAAACTGCATGAGCATCTGAGCTCCTTATGGGTAAACTATGTAAATGGTTCTTAAAGAAACCAGTTATGAACGACAATCAGCCCTTCTTCTGTTTTTTTTCGTGTGTTTGTTGTACCTATGAATAACTAGTGTGTATAAATTCTATTTTTGAAGTTACATACCAATAAAACCGACAGCTAATATTACTGAACAAGCAATCAAATCAGTTAAAAGTTGTTATTTTTAAAGTGGTACTTTATAGTCCCATAGTACATAGATTTCAAAGGCAGATTGACCAATCAAATGATGCATTCTATGTACATGCTATAGGCTTACGGTATTTTGCGGAACAAAACTAAACGAAACGAAGCATTAATCGATAAGGAAATTACCGTTCACCGAGTTAACGACACCACTAAGATTTATTCCTTCTCTTCGAAACCTGTCCAAGCTAGATGCCTTGTTTCGCAAAATACCAATAACGGCCGATTGGGAATCGACGAAACACGGTTCGCAGGCAATTTCTTAAGGCGTTCTCCTTAGGAAAATTATCTTGCTAGATAAAGCAAAGACAGGCTTACAGAAGCGACAAGAAATCATTCCTTCTCCTCGAAAGCTGTTCTCACTAGATGGCTTGTTTCGCAAAGTACCAATAAGGCCGATTGGCAATCGACGAAACAAGGTTCGCAGACAATTTCTTTAGACGCTCTACTCCAGAAAGTTATCTTGTTAGATAAAGCAAATACTAGCTTACACATGCGACAAGAAATTATTCCCTCTCTTCAAAGACTGTTCTCGCTAGATGCCTTGTTTCGCAAAATACCAATAACGGCCGATTGGTAGGTGCCTTGCGAAACAAGGCATCTAGCGAGCACAAGTTTCGAAAAGAAGGAATAAATCTTAGTGGTATCGTTAGCTCGGTAAATGGTAATCCTTATCGATTAACCTATTCCAGCAGCCCCTGCAAATATCGTCATAATTACGACGATAACTTTCGGTGACTCGTATGGTAATGCGTTCCTTCTGATTTCCTCCAAATTTGGTGTGTATGATGGCTGTGATCTCACTAGGCCGATTAACTAGCTGAACATTCTTTTAGGTGTTTGTTTACAGACCGACATTTACTAGTTAAACTTGACATCTGTTTTCCCTGTGAAACTTAAGCCGTTTACTCAGAAGATTCAAGTTACAAAAGCGCGCAACTTTGAAAAAATGGCGGGAGACGAAGCATTTTTAATGACTTCTCTTGTACTGATTCTCACCATTTTTCTTCGAAGGAGACGACGTTTCTTTCAGAGGATGCGACTAATGTCTCGACAAATGGAGAGGATGCGACGGATTGTGTTAATCCGGACAATCCAGCAGCAAAACACCCGCTATCGTCGTAAGCACAAGACAGTGTTGGTTTATCCAAGACTACAGTTTTGGTTTGAGCAGCTCCTCTAGTTTTAAACCGATATCAAGATCATCTATGGCGAGCACTTCAGGGTAAGCAGGGATACATTCGAACACATTTGTGGTCTCGTTGGCTCTCAGTTAATGCAGAAGAATACAATTCTACTTTTGCTTTAGACTTGTGAAGGCCATCCTTGTCAATATCATGTCCACAATAGGTTATCTTCTCCTTGAAAAGCTCACATTTGGCTTTGTTAGCTCTCAAACCATGAAACTGTAGCCGT